TTGAATCATTGAACCGTCAAAAAAAAAAAAAAAAAAAAAAATACCCAATGATTAGCATTTTAAATGAATGAAAAATACTCCTCTCATCTACACCACGTTATGATTTCAAAAAGTTCCAATCAAAATGATAATATCATTTTCAACCATATGGGATTATCTAGTCCGAAATAACGACAGTGAAAACCGTCCGACGTCATACCATAACCATGAGACATAGTTCCACGGAACCAGTTATTGTTATTTTAGTTCAGAAAGTTATAATTCTAAAAATTAGTCATTAGTATATCCCAGATCCATTCCTAATACATCAAACAAAATACTATAATTAATTAATGACATATGACATGCTCAACAAACATACAGTATGAGCAATACCTACTGATTAATCAGTTAAAGGAAAAAAAGAAAATGTCGTTCCTTCAGCATTTTGAAAAGTAGGGGAAGACCATAAGAAGCAGTGTGTACGAAAATGCTGAAAGAATGTACTGACCAAATAATTTGAATAATTTCGTCCAAACAGATAATGAGCAGATTAAAACAAATAATTTTCCAAAGAGATAATAGCACAGAAAAATTGAACAAATTCGATTCGGAAAAACAATAGTAAACAGAGAGAGATTTTGGGAAAAATCTAGAATATACATAAAACCTGAAACAAGAAGGTAAATAACTATTTCATAGAATAAAGTAAACATCTATAAAGTAAATCGCTAATTCAATAAAAATAGCAGAAATAATCATTCAATGATGACAACAATGCAGATATCACTAAAAAGAACCAAAAAGAATTCGTAAAGGTGAACAAATGAAAATAAAATTGGCATTTCCAGGTATCTTACTTGATAAAACATAAAACAGATATAACAAAAACTTACAGATATAACGAACTAAACTACAATTTACAGAATTAATCTTTCAGAGGGACAATGACAGCACAGACACAATTAGCGAACATAAATTTTTATGGATAAATTTACAGATGTCATATCTGATAAAATATAATAAAACTTACAGATAAAATAAGCCCAATAACTTACAGAAATAATATCTCAAAGCAACAACGACAGTTCAGATACAATTACCAAACATAAAATTCTGATGAATAAATTTACAGATATCTCATTTGACAAAACATTAGCATTTAAACATTATCTGTTTAACACAATACTACAGGAGATAATGTAAGATGATGGCTATTGTTATTATGAAAGCAATTAGGAATAAAGAGTTACTTAATTTTAACACCCAAAGAGTTTACAAGCATGCTTTAATTAGTGCTTTCATCATTTCAAAGCTATCCTCCAAGAACTGCAACTTTTGGCCTCTGCAAATAATAAAAAATTGGGTAGACATGTTAAACCAAACGCACTTAGGTACCTTTCACTTTTTTTAGATTTGTCATGTCAAAATAAAATCATTCATTCTAATTGTCTACATAGTTCATGTGAGATCCGATAAACTTGGTGGACAGTATATCAGATAACGATGTTTACAAAATTTTTCATGCTGGAAAATATATTTTGTACGTGTTTCTGAAATATATGCTTCCTATAACCATCATTTTCAAAATAACCGCGAGACATCGAACTGAAAATAAATGCAAGGAAACGTAAACTACCAGATAGATAGAATGTTCAATAACCTAAGAAAAAATAGGTCCTTAACGATAACTTACTAATACTGTTCTTAGTTTGTTTTTCTTTTGTTCTTAGAAATGTGTGATTGCAAGAAAAGCTTAAAATCCAATCCTGTTATTTCAAAAGATCAATCATATCCATCTGAAATCTTAGATTCAAACACAAAATCACAAACCTTGAAGTCTTTCCAGGCCTTGCACAAATTAATGAGTGGCCTATCTTCAGTCACACGACTCGTCATTAAAACTCTCGAGTTTTTCAAGCACCCACCAACTCCTTTTAAATAATTTTTCATTAAATCTTCCCTGCAAAAGATTTTATTAGACGGAAAATGCTAATAAGTTTAGAAAATGATTTAATACGAACAAATGTACAAATATACTAACATAAACAGCCGAAGAGCAATTCTTCCAAACTTGTTTTCTATAATATTATTAGCCGAATGAAAATAAACCCTGGATTAAGAGGCAGTGGTGAGATATTGTTCTTTACCGGCAGGTTGCAGCAACTGTCATATCCCACACTTTTCTTTTCGCTGTTATCAGTTGGGTAATTGATTACTTCGTTTGTCTCCGTGATTCCATGACAAAGAATATCACTCAAGAATGTTTTATCTGATGATTCTTGTAAAGATGTAACCACCTGAAATTAAATGCAAGTATTTGACGCAATGAATATTAAGCCATCGCTACAATATCATTCGTGCAAATGGGAAGTTGATTCTGCAGAACTCATCAGTTTGAAAGCTAATAACGATAATGTCACCATTAATAACTCCTCCTACTCGAACTTCTCGTCCTACATACAAATCAAGACATAGGACCTTCAAGTCTAGGAGTTTCAAAGAATTGGAAAAAACTTTATGCCAAAAAAGCTGTTAACGTTTTCACTCATGTACCTTCTTTTCCGCCTCATCTCTGAATGCATCATATACTGGGCGACCAAGTATTGGCATAGCTGCTTTTGGAACTGTCGGTACTGGTCTCGTTACTTCTTTCATCTTCACTCTTTCTGGAGATTTCGCATAATTTGTTACTAAAACTGAATATGAAAGCTAGCATCAACATGTAAATTACTTTTCTCTTTTACATCTTAATGCAGTTCCAAAACGAATAAGAGTCAATGGCAGTAAGAATCGGATGACACCACCGATATCCTTAGCAAAACCCCACTAATCTTTGGCTAATTTCGAAAGATAAAAATACAAGATTCAAACAACACTCTTCATGAGCTCTACCTTCGATGCTCGTGCAGGAAGCGCGGGATAACATCTGCACAAAGGCAGTACCAGTATATGAAATATGCTGCGCAGATGATGTCAACGGCTTGAAAAATGCTGAGTTTGGTGATGCATGCTGGGAAGAATGCCGAGAAACCATTGAACGATTCATGTGTGTTGGAGTTTTCATGTTGAATAAAGGACTCAGTGCTGGTGCTAGCATCTCATTCTTCTCTATATAATTAATCTGTTCACAAGCAAAAAAAAAAATGTGTTGTTAATAAAATTGGTATTTTTGTGACAATTTTTATGCTGAATAATCGTGCACTATCATTACTACCATAGTTGGTAACGATACTATTGTACCATAGTACTTCTGATAATGGACAGATGCATGCAGATACAAAGTCCCACTGTAAGGACCTAGTGATAATTTCAAACGTCAAACTGTTTCGTCTAGTTCACCCAATAATTTAAATTACAGGTGTCATTGTGACAATAAATAAGTGAAACTAAACTGAATTTTTCATTTGCCGATTTACAAACACTATTTAGTAATCTTAAATATGCAAATAAATAAAACGAGTGGCAATGATGGCGATACAAATAAAAGTAATAGTGATGTAAGTCTTTTGAAAACACCAGTATTATAAATTTACTACAAAAAAGAAGCGTACGTTGAGGCTGCACCGGACTGAATGCGCTTGATGAGCGTGTGCTAATATTTATCGCATCCATTGGCTAGAAAAAAAAAAAACATGAAACAACATTCCATCAGCAAAGCATTGCTTTCAACATTTGCTGAGGAACCGAGCATAGTGGTATTTCAAACTTCACATCTTAAACTTCTGTTCAAAACCATTCGTTCCTATTATGTTAATACATAACATAGTGTCCAATGATCGGGCATTTTAGGGGGAAAAAAACTTTTTTTCCTTTCAATACAAAAAAACACAGAATTTGATTAAATCACAAAAACTAAACTGTTTTTACATACCTTATGCCTAGGTTTGTTGTGCGTATTATGATGCTTCGAAACATATGACTGCAGCTCTTTGACGAATGGAATCACAGTGTAGAAATTACTTGGAGACATACCAATTCGCTCACATGCAATGAAATCGTTCCGATCCTTCGGCAAATCCCAAATACAAAACCATTGAATCTTACTGAAAATTGAAACTTCTTTTTTCCCTACTTGGAAAAAAAGCAATATTCTCGCCCACTTCATACAATTACTCATTAGATCTTAGAGCGACAGTCTATAAAAAAACCCCATTAGGTACGTACCCTATCTCGTTTCGAGTATTAGGAGCAAATGGGAAATCAATGGGAACATCGCGTATTATATACAATCGTATTAAGGTATCGTTCACAAAACACTGAATTAGACGTGTTTTGCAAATTTTGTCGGAAATATCGAAACCCACTTCCTCCATTACCTCTCGACTAGCACAAGCCATTGCTTCCTCATCTTCGTTTACCTTAAATGAATTTATTTACTCCCGTATTTTCTCCAAATTGGGTACTACAAATTTTGAAGCAATGTTAAGTAAATGGCGGTATGTCTCTGGATGCGATATAACAAGTTTATTACCTTTTTCTTTACCTAGTTTACAGTCCAGTTCACTGCATAAATGACGAAATCTTGTCCACGTAAATAAAACCTGTGAGCGCACAAATGATGACCACTTCTCTAATGCCTTACGACCTTAATCGCACGGCTTTAAAAATCCTATTCTCAACCAGTTCGGTAGTGCCGAGAATTCCTTGTATCTTACCGATAGCTTGCTGAACAAATCGTTATTTCTATACCGCTTCAAATTAGCATTTTTCAGAAGATCTACTATTCTAATCCATGTGTTATCTGAATTTAAACCTTACCCAAAATTACTTCTACTGGCCTGAAATTGATATTCATACAAAAAAATCTTGGAATTGTCAACAACATGAACAAGTAGCTAAAGTCTGCAAATACCAGTCATTTTTTTTATTTCAATCTGAACACCTTCTGTCATGTGTACCCTAGCCAATACTTCTTGTCCAAGTGTTATGAAATATACATCAACAATCGTCCACTTGCTTTGTGAAATTTTTTAACGAAGTGAAATGTCAAAAACCAATAATTACCAAAAAGCTTAATTTAAATTCAATCCCAGCTCAATTATCTCTTTTACATCAAAGAGTCCCAGCATAGTTTCAAGCTAATCTGATTACTATTTCACTGGTTAGAGATTCCAGTAGTTGTTTTTATTTTATTTCTTGTTTAGGAAAGATATGCCAAACAAACCATCTCTCAACATATTTTAAACCACGCTATCAAGATATTTTCCCCTTATAACATAAAACACAAAACTGTATGGCAAGGTCACCATTTCTAAACCATCCACTAAACTTAATAATAAACTCAGTATAACAATAGAAGTCAAGCAAACGTGATGCAATGCAATAATCTCATATCCCAGTTCATCTTTTAGCATGCATGTACCATCTATCAATAAAATTTACGATCGATTAGTTTCATTTAATTTCCATTTTCCTTTGACATATAACTTTTTAGTGATTAAGGGATTAATGATCATTACAAGCGTGTAGATCTCTCGATGTAGCGTGTAGATCTCGATATGATAAACATGCCGATTAGCCCACGGTTTTTTCAATCTTACGAAGTTTGCTTTTCAGTTCATCTCAAAAAACTAACTCAGTCCTTTGTAATACACTACACAACACACACAAACACGCACAGCTACGCAGAAGTTTGGATCACCATTCCCATCATCTTTTGTCCAAATAACGGAATTCAAATCATCATTAAAACATGCTTATTGACAATTTCGTCCTAGTTTTGCAATGGATCTTGTGAGATAACTTGAATCATTTCTGTTCATTACAGTGGGTAACTTACTTATACCGGTTTTTGTTAAAATATTTTTGTATTACCTTTTAAACCCATTATTATCCTTCATATATCTTATACAATTTAAACTTTACTCTCGAACTATCTCTGCGTTGCTTCAAGCGGTGTATTGCTGTTAACTGACACTAGCACCAAAATATTTTGGATAAAAAAGATGCAATGTCATGCATCGAGTATGGAAATGATTTTTAAGAATTCACAAATCAACAAATAATATTTAATTAATCAACTTTAAAATCTTCAAAAATTAACGAACTTTCCCCTTCGGAAATCCCCAACTGTTCTTTGCAAAATATCCTTGAACCAATAGCACGTAATTCAAAGAGTTATCCAAGAGCGCAGCACCATATGTTGGCACGCCAGACTTATAAATACGCCATTCTGCCATCACCTGTGTCAGATTTCAAGAAAATAAAGTTTTGGAAGCATTACTGGTCACTAGAAAAATTAATGATACACAAAAATTATGGAAGCTGAAAAACGATGCCTATGAATTACCTTATCGACGCTATCCGTGTATTGGATAAGGAAATCACAATGGTTGAATATTTGCCTAAACAAAATTGCAGTTAAAGATAAAAGAAAAAAAAGAAAAAAGTGAAACCATCTCTATGACTGAGTAGTGCTCTTTTTCTTCACACCACATTAAAGCAGGAAATTGAACTTTCTGCAATACTTTAAGATGAAGTAAGTTAAGTGTTGACTTATTAAGAAATTATGAGGCTTACCAACTACATACACAACGTAGTATCACATGAACAATCTTAGAGGAACGCTTTGCGGTTGGCATAAATTCACTTACCCGACCAAATCTCTCAAGCTCACTTCAGGACACTTTACATTTGCATTATTCCCTTTGCAGTAAAAATCTATATAAAACCAATGTGCCAACTCGATTTGAAAGCAGAGCCGTACAGGAGCATTTTTCTGCAAGACAATGAATTGTTCAGACCAGAAAAACCGCCCAATCCCTACAGACAAATGCTAAAATCCGAACTTTCAGTATGCTGAAGAGGCGAAATGCTTATAAAGGCAACGTATGAATCACCTGATCGTCTGGAATATTGATAAGGAATCGGAAGCAAAGATCATCTAAAATATCGTCAGGTATGGGTGGGCCAAATGATGTAGAATTCTTCGTTCGTAAATCTGAAGACTCAGTAATTGATCCTGAAAAAGGGGACTGTCACCAAGCAGTTCGGTCAGCAAATGAAACGAATGCTGACTCGGAATTTTACAAGTAGTTCAAAATCTAAATTAATGCAACGGCCAGGGAATTCGAGGCTAATTATGGCTCATAGATATTCCGAATTTTTTGCTTGGAAAATCTGAATTTTAATATTGTCAAACAAAATAAGGTCCTGATATGAAGGTGATAAGACAGCAAAATCATTATTACCTTTAGACATTCTTGCTCCAACACTACTCCTTTTTGAGCCACTTTTTTGCCGACCACGTCGCGGATTCTCGCATTTGTCACCACATCCTGATATAGTTCTTAAGTATTCTTTCCGATTGATGATACAAATACCGCCTTTCTATTAATGTGGAAGAGGGAACGAGGATGGAAAACGCAAAGTAACAAAGAAAAAAACGATAAAGATCGTGTCTGAATGGAATATCTTCATGAAGTCTGATTTTAACACCTTATAGCGACATGAGATGTAAATCGTCAGCGTAGTTACAAGTCAGAGCGAGGTCCAAACTCAACATCTTTATAGTAGAGATTGAATTGCCGTTACGTACGTGGATGTCCATATAAAATTAAAGTGCAGCGTTTTAGCTCTTGAATAAATGAAGATAAAACATAGCGCAGCTCATACGGAAGTTATAAAGCCCTTCATTGTTTCGAAAAAAAAAGAAGTGAGGAATCTTGAACAGCAACAAATGAAACGGATAACTTACCACCACCACCACCAACATCAGTGGAATCAATACTTCGTAAATTTCGATTATGAACTGTCATTCGTGCAGGATGCTGTTTACGAATCATATTCCTCACCAAAAGCACTCATCAATTCAATCCTCCTTTGCGTCTAAAATTTACAAATACTTGAAACTCTCAGATCTCCCAGCAATTCGATAATCGACCTTCTTGCGGCCCATAGATCGCCATAAACAGCTACAACCTGAATAAAAAAAAGCTATAACTTTTATTCTAAAAAACTGTAACTTTTACTCCCTCTTCAAAAGAAAAAAAAAAGAACGAAATTTGCGTGTACTTAAACAGTTACCATATTAACAAAAAACAGTTACCATTGAGAAGCCCTGTAAAATTTTCATATATTCAGGATGGTGTAACTATTATAAACCATTCATTTGATCAAAATTTATACACTATTCTAAATCATTGCATGAAACTTGCATATACTGAGGATAACAAGACTTACGCATTTGATAAATATTCAGTAACAAATTCTCTGTTAATATTTGTCTTCCCATACTTACAATCACTAAAAATTAAACTAAAAATAGAATACATTTGCATGAAAATGATATTTTAACAACAATAATTTGGAATAACCAGTACTATATTGAAAGTTTAGTTGTAGCAAATAATCATCAGAATGATTCCTGATAAATAATGTATGTGAAGAGATGAAGAGATTTAGAGTGTAATAAAGAAATCCAATTATAAACATAAAATTAATCAACAGAGAAAGAGAAAATTGAAATGTAAGTTAGAGAGAGAGAGCAGAGAAACGGAATCTGACGTCATTGTAAAGGATTTAGAATGACGAAATATCGATGAACATGGTTTGGATGATAAAATCCCAAACGTCATTTGCACAAGTTTGGTGCAACGAGTGAAATACGTGGGACGATAAATTGCATCCATCATATCAAACGAAGAAACAGAACGATACTTAAGAAGCTTGAACTATCAAACGAAAACATTTTTTTCCCGGTTTACCAAGTTTCATTTCTGGACATCGTTGTTGTTTTGGTTTGATTTCCGGTTATCGTCGTCGTTTTCGTTTCATTTCCGGATATTATCATCGATAGAATTTGTTTCCGATTACTGCCCGGATCTACTCGTGGATGTTAATAGTTGACTTAAAAGATTTGAGGAAAAAGCTAAAATATCATGCACATTTGTTATGATAATTGCTAGAATTGTTTGTACAGGCGATGCAAAATATTCCACTTATCTCAAGTGTAGACTTTATTGTAATATTTCCCAAACTACCAACCATTATTGATCTTATTTTCCAATTTTGCCTCCGTTTTCATATGTATCGTTGGGATTCACATTTTGTTCATGAATACAAGGAAAAAAAAAGAGATCTTGACTATCGAATACATCTGTTTGTTGCCATCTAGTAATTAATAGACAACATTTTAATTACTGCAATGACTATCATAATTTTGTGCTTTTCATGTACATTTGCGTTTATTTTAGTTCTAGGATAATCGTATTGAATACGTAATATTTTTGTTATAAATTTAATGAATCACTCATTGTAAGTTCTTTTTTTGCAACATTGATGGTTAAAAACCTTTTTTCTGTTGACATCAACAAATTTTGTTTTTAGTGCAAAAGTGTTCCATTCCTTTATTTAACGAATTATTTCTAATTTCTCTCAAATGAACAATAAATGATGTTCAGATATATAATTATGAATGCATTAAAATAGGGTGAAGTTTTTATATCTCCTTTTAAGATTTATAAATTGTTTTGTTTTTTATTCTTTCATTTTGCTGGCTGCACCATTTATTTCTATACGCTACGAATATCATTTGAACATCGCTTATGTTTATTTGAGGAAAATTGAAAATACTTCGTTAGATAAAAGAATGAATCTGTCGCAGAAATTTTGAATTGAAAACAAAACCTATTGATGTCAACATGAAAGTGCTCCAAAAATTAAAATCTATAAAATCTTTCGAAAAGAGAAAAAACAAGCAACTAATCAATGTGGATGGAAGCTACTGGAAGGCCTGTTGCCTAATAATTTATATATCAAGGTATAGTTCATACTTAAGAATAGTCGAGAAGCTTGTCATTGCACGATAAGTAATTTGTCCATCATTATCGCCGACTGGTGGATTCGGAAGACCGTTTTGCGGTTATTTCGCTGTTATTTGTTACATCCTTTTGTCGGGATGATAAGCAAATAGATTTTTTTTTTTTGAAACTAGTTTGATGTTTGGTTAGAAGTTGCGAGCTGTCATACCTGATGGTGTTTTCTGTTTTCTGTTGTTGATGAACTGACGTCAGTCATTTATTCTAGAATGTTAGCATAGCTTATCGCCTCTGTGACATTTATTTGATTTTTTTTTGACAAAGTTTTAATCCTGTCGATTTAATGTCATATCGTTTATTATCTTTGAATAATGCTGGGAAGATATAATGTTGTTTAGTTTGACCAATGGATCATGAAAAGTATATAACCAAAATTATGGGAAATTTGCGTTATAATTCACCTTACGCTGTCACCTTCATAAAAGTTTGTGGAAACTTTTATTGGTGAGATTTTGATCATAACAGAAGTACGCACTGCTTCCAGACATATCTTACGTTGCTTCTGTGTAATACATTTCGGATTTATATAACGTATTTGATTTCAAGTATACCATGTGCCATTAGTGCAATAGAAAACGTAATTAACACATAGCACTATCAAAAAAAGAGATGGTAGATTTTATGCAACAGGGCAGAGAGTAACTTCCCCTCAGATACTACAAATGAATTTAAATTAGGCGGAAAAGGAGTATTGAACTATGTTAGGAGGCTACGTACGTTGTTGACTAATGATCAAAAAATAGATGCTACTCTGCGGTTTTAACGAGAATGTTGTGCAGTAGCTTGGAAAATGAAAGATATATTCGAAAATTAGTGGTTCTGGACAGGTATTTTATATCAATAATAGCAAATATACCAGATATGGCAGATATGCCTGATAATGATTGTGTTTAGTTGGGATCACCTATTATCATTCCGAAAAAAACTGTTTCAAGAAAGAGTTGAAGGTTGAATTGTTGTGCAGCAGTGAGGAAACTGTGTAGGACGATTTCGCTGTTTTATTCTTGTGAATATTTTGTTAATTCATTTTTTTTTCTCTCTCTCTCTTGCTCTTTGAAATATCGTCGCGTTCGAATCATAAGTTGTGCTACTGTTACCGTTGGCAGACTTGGATATTCAAAGTGTTTGCATATCAGATCCATTAGTAATAGCGCAGAAAAAGTTTTCCCAGACTGATGGTATTAAAATTTTCCTCAAAATTATATATTTAATCAAAACGCTTGTTATTAACTGCAAGTGCCAGTGTTCAGACACACGGGAACTTGTTCATGTTTGCCCCCCCCCCCCCCCCTGATTCGTGAAGTTTGCATTAATGATAGTAATACAACTAAAAAGAAACCAACTAAAAACTATGAGGACAGTTTCTAGTTGATCACTTGTTGCATTATTAGTTATGTTGATAGAATCTCATCGTGAATTTTTCTAATTCCGTGCCAGGGTTAACTGACATCACTTCTAGGTATAATATGCTTCATCAAAAAATTGTTCGAGCTGTCTGGAAGAACTCTTCGCTGTTCGGTGTTAATGCTCGATGTTATTCGACTAATGGTAACCTTTCTTTCATTTTTCTTAAATATATTGTTGTTATTTGAAAATTTCATATTAGTTCATTTTTGGATACCTAATGGCCAACTAAAGAGTTCAGAGTTCCAGATTTCTCTCATTAAGTTAGGTGTAAGTTTATAATTGAAAAAAAAAGAAGGTGGAAATAATTACATTGATAAATTGGGACAGTATTGTTTCAGATATAGATTTGGTAGTTATTGGAGCTGGTCCGGGTGGTTATGTAGCGGCAATCAAAGCAGCGCAGTTGGGCATGAAAACAGTATGTGTAGAAAAAAATCCAAAATTAGGAGGTACTTGTTTGAATGTCGGATGCATACCATCGAAGTCTTTGTTGAATAACTCATTGTATTATCATATGGCCAAACACGGTGAATTCAATAGTCGAGGTCAGTTTTTTTTTTGTGGATTTTGTGGATAATTTATCCGCGTAATTTACTGTTAAAATTTTATCAAATTTTTGGGGCAGAATATTGTAAACTGCTCGCAGTGCTTGCTTTAATCTAATCCTCACTATGCCTAACCACTGTAAAGTCCTTGTTATAGGGTCCTAGCTTTATCTTTCACCTCTCTCCCATGAATGCGTTTTTCAGTAGGTTTCAAAATGTTTACGTTGTAAAAAGTTAGTCTAACTGATGTTTTCAATTCCTGTTCTCTTATATGTGTGTATCTAGTTTCCCTTCGGTGATGCTCGAGAAGAGATTATGCTACGTAACAACTTCAAAAATTGAATTAGGATGAAATACTGTATGCTCCAACTTTTCCTCTTCAGATAGCTTTATATTTCAGTTTAGGTGTTGAGGTTGAGCCGAAACTGAATTTGGACAAAATGATGGCTGCAAAAGCAGCATCAGTGAAGGCTTTAACGAGTGGTATAGAGATGCTGTTTAAAGCGAACAAAGTAAAGTCGGTCAGTGGAATAGCGACGATTACAGGCAAAAACGAAGTATGTTCTTATTAATTCTAGGGACTTATTCACTAATTAATAACAAAAAGTTTTAGGTCACTGTGAAACTTGCTGCAGGTGGCGACGAGAAATTCATAACACGTAATATACTTATTGCATCGGGTTCCGAAGTTACTCCTTTCCCAGCGTTGTCTATCAATGAAGAACAGGTCTATTCTTCACATCCTTCTGTTATTTTACATTTTCCCGTATCCATTTTTTGAATCTTGATCTTCTAGTGATAGATGTTGTCAGGCTAAAATTTGCTGTTTAGTTGGTTATAGGACTTGAATGCCTCATTAGTAATTATAAATTAGTCATCGGCCTTAATATATTTCTGTTTAGCACATTAAGGGTCAATCAGCAAAGTTACATATTTTGTTCGTGTAAGGAAGTACTTCGGTCTAACAATTTAACTTGCTGATGTAGACATAATGAGTTTGAGGTTGATAGGTCAGATCACTGTTACTAAGTGCGATAGTTTTCTCCTACCTCAGCATTGAGTCTTGTTTCCATTTTTGCGTAAAAAAAACTATTTCAGATCGTTTCTTCAACAGGTGCATTGAGTTTGAAGAAGGTGCCGAAAAAAATGATTGTGATAGGTGCAGGTGTTATCGGTACTGAACTGGTAAGCATTTTTTTTTAAATAAAGACGTAAATTTGGAGTAGAGGAAAAAGAACTGGAAAAGGAAGGATTCAGAATTTAGCTTGTAGAAGATGGGTCAGATGACACTTCGTATTAAAATCTCTGTATTATTGGATAATTTGTATTGTTGTATTTAGGGAAGTGTGTGGCAACGATTAGGAGCTGATGTAACTGTTGTTGAATTCCTTGGACATGCTGGTGGAATGAATATCGATATGGAAGTGGCAAAAATTTTCCAAAGGACGCTTGCAAAACAAGGTAATATCTACACATATTATTTGATATAAGAAGTACTATATTGAATTCTTTTTGAGCTAATGGATTACAAATCATTTCAGGATTGAAATTCATGATGAATACGAAGGTAACAGGAGGGAAAAAAGAAGGTGATTTGATTAAAATAAATGTAGAAAGTGCAAAAGGTGGAAATCCGCAAACGGTATGGATTTCTCTGCATTTCATATTCATCGAAAACTTGTGATTACTTCATCAATTGCTAGAGTTGATTTGTAGTTTATAAAACCAAATCATAATATTTCACATTTCACTGTGCTGATGCTTACTTTGCAAGTTTGTTGCTGTTGGGGATTTAAGTGTATGGCGAGAACTAGTTAGAGCAGGTATACAGGTAAAGGTCTGTTGTTGTAAAGTGCGGTTTTTAAAAGTTGCTAAATTAAAGAATTATTCCAAACATATTCTAAAAAGACAAATATTCTAGAAAGTATTTTAATTCAGTTGGAAGCAGATACTGTTCTTGTTGCAATTGGCCGACGACCATATACGGAAGGACTGGGAATTGAAAACGTTGGCATAAAATTGGATTCAAAGGGGCGCGTACCAGTCAGTGAACGTTTCCAAACCTCCGTTCCATCAATATTTGCAGTTGGTGATGTAATTGCTGGGCCGATGTTGGCACATAAAGCGGAAGTAAACTTATCTATGTTTTAAACTCTGATCTAGGCTTATGTAGTCGGGAAGTACGCCGCTACAATGGCGTAACAAATTCCACGTTCATCTGACTGGAACTTTTGTTTTAATATTTGCGATCTTAGGTACTTTTTATCTAAGACTGTCACTCTAGCCAATTTTATAACATTAACTAATTGTTGCCGCTGAATTAAAATACAGCTATGTTTTAAAATGTGCTGCCTACTTGTGGGCACTGGCAAACTTTGTGGTCTTGAGGTCAACTTTTATCTGTACCTTGGCTAAATGGCGATATAATATTAAATTTTTTGTTCAGAACCAAATACTCAAAACCTGAAATTGTACCTAGTAATTTAAAACTTCAGGATGAAGGAATTTTATGCGTTGAAGGTATAGCAGGTGGAACAACACACTTGGATTACAACTGCATCCCCTCGGTAGTTTATACGCATCCTGAAGTTGCATGGGTCGGCAAATCCGAAGAACAGTTGAAGAGTGAAGTTAGTTCTCTCTTTCTCGTGGGGGTTTTTTTTAGTACTCTATTTTCACAAATTATTGCTGAAATCGTGAACAAATTAGTTTTTTTTTAGAATGTGGAATACAAAGTTGGCAAATTCCCATTCATGGCAAATTCGCGTGCTAAAACGAATAATGATGCGGAAGGATTTGTAAAGGTTTTAGGAGACAAAGAGACGGATAAAATATTGGGAGTTCATATCATTGGGCCGGTAAGCTCGTACATTTATTCCTGCTCTTTTTTTTTGCGTATCTTCAAAGTTTTTGTTTCACAGCGGCTTCGGAATGTGGAACACAGGGCATGTATTGGTATTGGTTCACTTTAGTTTATCTTCCTTAGTTGTGCATCGCAGTGCATCTGTAATTTACTAATTCTATTCGGAGACATGGATACTTTCTGGTATAAAAGTTGTAAATTTTTGCGGGAATTTGTGAATCTAATTGCTGATTAACTTATCTAAATTTCATCTTGCATAAAATTCAATCGTTACAGAATGCTGGTGAGATGATTGCGGAGGCAACTTTGGCATTGGAATACGGAGCATCCTGTGAAGATGTTGCTCGAGTTTGTCATCCACATCCTGTTAGTGTCTTATTTTTCTCCTCAAAGACTGCCGAGCATTTATTAGCATCAATTACTGGGTAATTAGTTAGTTACGAAAAGATTTAGAGCACTTTTGCTGCTGTGTCATCACTGAGCACTGATAGAAGCCCTGCTAGTTATATCTGTGTAATTTATTAATTTCTACAGAAAATTTGGACTTCTTATGCTTATTTTGTTTTCAACTCAATAACTTCGAATAATTTGCAATTTTTTAGACACTGTCAGAAGCGTTCCGTGAAGCAAATTTGCAAGCATTTTGTGGCAAAGCTATCAATAATGTTTGAAAGTGGTATCTTGTTCCTCTGTTCTCTGTTTTCTGTGTTCTTTTTTCTTCCATCAGTATAAATTTTCAATGATCTTCATGCAATAAATTAATTTTTAGTTTTTTGAGAATTAAATCTTTTCGTTAATTTATCTCAGTTTTGTTTCCTTCATTTTTGTATTGATTATCTCTGTACGCACAAAGAAATTTTCATCGGAGTTAGTGCAATAATAATAACTTATGCTGCGTGTAGCATAAAAATTATTCAACCTTGCTGTTGAATGTGATACATGCATTTCTTATCATGGAACTCTGAATTGTTTTCCTTCTCTCTGGCTCTTTCCACTTATTTTCTGAATTCATTATTCCGTCTAAAGGTGCTGACCAATCCGAAAGGGTTTTCCCTTCAGATTCTTTGACATGCTCACCTTTTCATATCGATTTCCTTGTAAACATGATCGTTTTCATTTATGTCTCGTTATCATTTTCGAATTCCTCATTTCTAATTTGTGGAGATCTTAGAAATAAAGTGATTTAAATAATGTGTAGGTTTCTTTTAAAACAGTATTAATTTCTGCACTTATAAAGAAGGAGACTTTTTATTAGTCCATACTATATACAGATGAGATCAAACAACATTGTTTCTCTATACTTTATTGTTTTTTTAATAAAAGCTCAGTTCTTGATCTTGAGTCCTGGATGCGACGACTGGAATAAACGATGAATTTATTATATATTATTGCTGTATGTATGATTCATCTGCATCCACAAAGATTATTGATTCAATGTCGACAGTGATTGGTCGTGGACACTGAAAGTTGTGCATTATATAAATGATGTGACAGAATTTATAATCGTTGGGTATGAAACGATAGGTGTAAAATCCTGTGAATGCATTAGTAAATATGCAAACAATTTATGGTTAAACTTACCCGTAAGGTGTCTAGTTCACCTGCTTCTACTTTAATTGCCGCATTGACGAAATCGTCGAGATTCAGATCAGCAATTTCATTTATTGGTAAGTCGAAATAATCACCCAGGTTCCGGACTAGCTGTTTCATTGTAAGCCTGCAAAGAAGTTATCCAGATTGAAATCGATAAGATATGTTAAGGCTGATGTAATCGTTAACTTTCACGTTTATTGTTTGAGTCATTTATCTTTCCCTGTAAATAATTTCTGATTTGAGAATTGCAGCTTGATTTTTGAAGTATAGCTTATATTGACATGAACTTCAGTGTTTCTGTAATTGTATTATATATTTTCACGCAATTTTCTGTTTTCTTTTGATTTCCAAAAAAGTATTTAGCAATTTGATTAATTTTAAACATATTTTACATCATATTCAGTAACATATTTCAGCCAAATTAACCGTAATGTTTTCAAAAATGGATCTTTTTCAAAGGTATAAAACATTGATATTACTTGAGATTATTTAAAAAAGTAATGAAATGATTTCTAATTTCTTAAATTGTTTTAAACAAATATTTTTAGCTTACTTTTTGCCTCCAAACCAAATTTGTACATTTCCAACATTGTCAATTTTACGGCCGAAATAATGTAACATTTTCAAATATTCAGCAGCAATTTCAATAGCAATGGTTGTTAATGCTAAACCAACAGCTGAGTAAATCAACGTTAATACCAAGTACTTTTCACTAAAAAAAAAAGAAAAAAAAGAAAATAAAAATGAAAAAAAAAGGGATGGAAAATTAGAGATAATTGAATAAATTATCTACCCTTTAAAATTATCTAATAAATTCCATGCAACTTTATTGTTCCCTTTTCTACAATATTTTATTAAAGTTACTGAAGGGGAAAAATCTCTAATCTATCGATCGTTCTCAAATGGAGTTTAAAACATTTGAAATTATCGGCAACATTTAAAACAAATATTTTTATCACTGGAATTTAAAACATTTGAAATTATCGACACTTTTCGCTCACCACACATGACTTATTTCCAAATTATTATTCGATTTCGTACCAAATTAACCCAAAAAAGTTTTTCTTTTTTTTCTAACAAAAAAGTCTTTGCTAAGCTTATCATATCAGAACTGAGCTTATCATGACAAATTTTGAAGTGCTCGAAGATTAGCGATGATTTCCCTATAATATATGTAATTTTTTAATTTTTAAATTTTCAATTTTCCTAAACTCATGGTTTTAAATTTGAAAATAGGATTAAAATGTTACTTTTTAGGCACCAAATCACCTAAACCAATTGTTGTCAGTGATACAAAATTGAAATAAATAGCTCCAAAGAAATCCATTTCTGGTTCATAGCTTGCAATTGCAATTGAACCAATTATGATGTAAATGAAAAAGGCCACAATTAGTACCAATGCTTCACCCCATTTTTGCACCTGTAAAAAAAAAAAACGATGAAATGATATGTTAAAAAAATTCCGTGAAATATTTTCAATTAACCTTTAACACTTTCTTTCCTTTGCTTTTCTCTAAAGCATCTTTTTTTTTTCTTTTTTTTTTTGAACTTTTAAAATATTATAACTTATTACAATCATATGTATCATCCATTGCTTTATTTATGAAAAAAATTTTCGCTTTCAATATTTTTTTCGTTTTTTTTTTAAATCTCATTTATAAATAAATCAATAACTGAAAATATAATTGCTAACCTTTTTAACCTCAGTATTATCCGATATAATATCATCAGTTGGAATTATCTATAATATGCTCATTTTTATTTTAGCAATTTAGAATTAATTTTCAAATGATAATTAATTTTTATTCTTTTTTTCTTCCTTTCTTTTCTTTTTTTTTTTTTTTTAAAAAACTAAAATTATAAATGGGGATTTTTATTTTCATTATTAATGCTTATTTATGAATGTTTAAATTTTTCAAGAAAATTTCGTAATCCCTTCTTTTTTTTTCTCGCATACATTATTGGAACATATATATATGTCAATGTGTTGAAACAAAAACATACTTGTTTTTATTGTCATTTTTTGAATCACTAATTAGTGCTTCTTTTTCCTTGAATTGCTTTTGCATGCTACTGCAACAGAAAATTGCCCTGCAAGTCGTTTGCATTTTGCATAATTTTAATTATAAGAAAATTGGATGTGTTTAACTGAAAGGTAAAAGTTGAATGGATTATGAAATTTAATAAATTTAATTTAGAAAAGCTCTCAAAGAATTGTGCAAAATTTATCGCTTACTGCGACAATTTTAACTGCTTCAAATTTAGCTCTATCCTTTAACGTATCCTTAATAATTTCCTAATTCTTTCTCTCATTAGTCTAGCTGAAAAATTTGCATAATTATAATAATAGCATTTGTATAAATCAAGTAACGTAATTTACAATATTTAGTTTTCCCATTATCAGTTTTACCTGTCGATATAGGGATAAATTGTGATAACTTATCAATATAGTAGTAAACTATAATGACTATTACCCGTTAAGATGGGTAAACTGTGTGAATGACTTGTCAATGTAGGGGTAAACTGTAATGACTATTATATACTGATGTAAGAGTTAACTATAATGACTGTTATTAACTGCAATAACTGTTACCCATTGATGTAGGTAAGTTGGTAAGTATATATGAAAACATAAAATGAAACTTAAGACTTTAAGATTTCCTTTAAAATGCAACAATTATAATGATGAATCTTTTCCCTTATCTGTCATAATTTCATCCATTATTTTTGTAAAATTTTTTGCAGTAATAAAATTCATTTCAACTTTTAATAACAAAATTTATCGTTTAAGATTTAATTATATTTCAAAACTAAATTATTTAGGCTTTTTTTTATCTTTTCTAAAATTCTGTTTGGTACTTTAAAAAAAGAAAAAAGAAAAAAATTACTTTATTGCACGAGCCGTAATTTGTGTAATTCCTTTTAAAATTTCGGCTAAAAATTTACCCAAACTAGCAATTGCAAGCATTGTAAATGGTATACCTAATACACCATATGCTATCACAAAAAGTCTTCCTTCTGTTGTTTTCGGTGCCACGTTACCGTATCCTGAAAATTGAAAAAAAAAAAAGAAAAAAAGGAAAGGATAATGAAACATTCAGCTTAACTGATTAATGTTACGTACGTATGACGCACACAAAATACACATGTGACGTACGCAAGATATGCTATGTTAATATTTATATTATTATTAGGTTGATACGTGTATTTTCACAGAGTATGTAAAATGGAATAATTTTGAAACGTACACGTATGACGTGCGTAAAATGTACTGTGTTAATTTTTACGCCAATATCAGGTTGATACGTGTATTTTTACGTAATATGTAAAAGGGAAGAAATACAGTCATTTATTTGGTCAATCTTTGATTGAAAAAAAAAAGCAAAAAAAAAAAAGATTATATAAGACGTGTAAATAAATGATATCCGAAATGATACAAGGTGATAAAAGGCTTTTTCTCATAGGAAAAAAAAAGATCTGAAATATTTAATGATTGCTATGCATCATCAAAAATATATATCATAGGGATTGAATAACCTTTGTAATGACCGAGGAAAATTCTAGAAAATGTAATTTCAAATTTTCAAATTTTAAAAATCAATTGTGATTTTTTTCTCTCCTTCATTTTCTCATTTCATCTTTTTATTCAT